GAAAGGGGGGGCGTTGCCCCGTCCTTGTCCAATTCGAGCTAGATGGGAGGGGGGCGCGCGGCCTGCCCTGGCCGCCCCTCCTCTTCTCCACTTTGGTCCCAAGTGGCCCATTAACCCCCCGGGGGGTTCCGGTAACCCGCCGGTTCTCCGGTATATATCCGATAACCTCTGAAACTCATTCCGGTGTCCGAATATAGTCGTCCAATATACCAATCTTCATGTATCGACCATTTCGAGACTCCTCATCATGTCTGTGATCACATCCAGAACTCCGAACAATCTTCGGTACATCAAAACTCATAAACTCATAATATAACTGTCATCGAAACCTTAAGCGTGCGAACCCTACGGGTTCGAGAACAATGTAGACATGACCGAGAACTGTTTCCGGTCAATAACCAATAGCGGAACCTAGATGCTCATATTGGCTCCTACATATTCTATGAAGATCTTTATCGGTCAAACCGCATAACAACATATGTTGTTCCCTTTGTCATCGGTATGTTACTTGCTCGAGATTTGATCGTCGGTATCTCAATACCTAGTTCAATCTCGTTACCGGCAAGTCTCTTTACTCGTTACTAATGCATCACTCCGTAACTAACTTATTAGCTACATTGCTTGCAAGGCTTATAGTGATGTGCATTACCGAGAGGGCCCCAGAGATACTCTCGGACAATCGGAGTGACAAATCCTAATCTCAAAATATGCCAACCCAACATGTACCTTCGGAGACACCTGTAAAGCTCCTTTATAATCACCCAGTTACGTTGTGACGTTTGGTAGCACACAAAGTGTTCCTCCGGTAAATGGGAGTTGCATAATCTCATAGTTGTAGGAACATGTATAAGTCATTAAGAAAGCAATAGCCACATACTAAACGATCAAGTGCTAAGCTAACAGAATGGGTCAAGTCAATCACATCATTCTCCTAATGATGTGATCCCGTTAATCAATTGACAACTCTTTTGTCCATGGCTAGGAAACTTAACCATCTTTGATTCATGAGCTAGTCAAGTAGAGGCATACTAGTGACACTATGTTTGTCTATGTATTCACACATGTATTATGTTTCCGGTTAATACAATTCTAGCATGAATAATAAACATTTATCATGATATAAGGAAATAAATAATAACTTTATTATTGCCTCTAGGGCATATTTCCTTCAGCCGCCACCCTTGGGCGCTGCCAGGCAAAGCATGCACGGTGTCGGCGGCAAAATGGATTCCTTCCCTTGCACATCAGGTGGATGTGGGTGTGGCTACAGGTGGCCGTTTGGTGCTGATGTAGCTCCTTCCCCGGTGAGACGACGGCTGGGATACTTGGCGAGTTGCGTGGGGCTGGCGTGGAGGTGTGTGCTGCAGCAGCGGCTGCATCGGAGTTGCATTAGGCGTGTGCCTACGAACGGTCGCGGACATGCAGACGCCATTCGCTTGCATCCCTACGTGTGACAGTTGTGCACAGGGGGTTAGGAAGGCATCGACATGAGGTGTGAGCTTGTCGTGATCAGTGCAGCGGCCCGCAGTGTGGCCTTAGGGTGGGTTGTGTGGCGGTCTTCGAGGCTTTCATCGTGTCGGCTAGAAGGTGTGCTCCTACAGATGTGCATGGCGTGTTGGTTGAGCGCCAAATCCGGCTAGTTGCGAGGTGCTCGGGCGATGGATCCATCATGCGGAACTGACGTGGGAGAGTTGCGACTGAAATGATCGAACCAATCGACTAAGGGGGGTGTGAATGGGAGACTACAAATTTGAACTTAATTGCCAATTGGGGGATCGAGCCAATGAAGGAGTTGAGAAAATCGGTGAAATTTGTACTTCTCGGGCAACAGTTTGGGCGCTTTCATGATGAAGGAGTCGAGAAAGTCAGTGAAATTCCTTCTTCTCAAGCCATTATGTGTGCAATTATTCGCCTGAATGTGTCCTTCTCTGCTTTCGTTCTCTTGGTGGTATGATGGCATAGTCTGTGCCGCACAGATTCGTCGGAATCAACGATAGTAGCTGGCAGATGTGGTTCCACACACGCACATATCATTTTACCCGACAAACGGGCAGCCTTGTAAAGTCGCCACCCGTGATGGGGATGAATGGAAGAAGAAGAGAATGAGAAGACAAAGAAAATTCTTGTCGGAGCGCATGGGCATCGAAACCGTGGCGGGGAAGGTGGGGAGGAGCACGACCTTCGTGCCGTTGAAAGAGAGAGAATTTGAGGAGAATGCATGCTTCCTTATCAAACCTGAAAGCGGAGGAAAATGATTGAGGAGCAACTTCTCAAAAAATTAGGAGTCAGCAGATTTGATGGAGGGCTGGAAATGTTAACTGAAAATGTTTCCTTTAGGAAATTAGAAGAACTCGAGGGAAGTGACTCAAAACGCTCTTATGCATTATTACACATTCATACCAGTACTCCCCTCGATTCATATTAATGAATGCACAATCACTATAACCTTAGTACAAAATTGTGCCACGTGTGTGCCAATTAATTTGGATCAAAGAACACTCTTGTGAAAGAGAGAAGCAACATATTTTCGATTTTTACGGACAGGATTGGCAATGTTTGTGATCCACAGCTACCATCGTCCCAAACGGAGGAGCTATCATGTAACCAAGTCCTAGCGTTGACGTCACTGGACTGATCCGTGGCGGAGCTACCGGTTCCTCCACCTCTCAACGCACGCACGGTTGGTGAGCACTGACTTGGCTGACCAAATGTTTGGTCCTGCTGCTCCAGTCAAACTCACAACAACCATCTTCCCTAAAAAAGACTGTCACCAACCATCTCCAATAAGACGGGTCCGTTGCGTGTTAGGCCCATGAGGCAGTGGCACAGCAGGTGCATGGCAAAATTCAGAAACGGGCAGCAAAGAATAATAAAGGGTTGCTTAAATTACGATGAATTTAGCTGATAGCTTAGTGGCAGTGTAATGCCTTTCTTAACCCTGGCATCTACTCCCTCCATCTCTAAATATAAGTATTTTTAGAGATTTCAATACAAACTATATATGAGTGTATACATAGACATATTTTATAGTGTAGATTCACTCATTTTGCTCTGTATGTAGTCTCTTATTAGAATCTCTAAAAAAACTAGTAGTCAGGAACATAGGGAGTATACTATATTTGCATATCTTAACTTTGATGGTAGATAATCTTTCCTACCTTGACATCAAGTATTTTCCTAGCACTTATTACAGATGTAGATGCTTGATTCAAGAAAAACAGTGAGTTCGTTTGGGCTAAGTTACTGAGAGTGCACAAAGCCGAAATAATGTCGATTGACTAGAAAGGACAGACGAAAAGTTACTAATATCGTTTCTGTGGCTGTAATTATTCCAAAAAAAATATGACTTACGATACATGCATTGACTATATATGTCACCATAGAGTTTAAGAATTAACAACTTAGGCATTGTTTGGTTCATAAGTCCTAGGACTTTTTTTTAGTCCCAACTTATAAGTCTCAAGTTCCTAAAAAGTCCCTACCTGTTTGGTTCCTGGGACTTAACATGGACTAAAAGACCATATTACAACTATAAGTCCCTATAAGACTCTTCTTGAGAGTCTTATTTCATAAGTCTCAAATGCCCACTTTAAGTCCCTATAAATCCCTTCTGTTTGCTTTAGATGAAACTTATAGGGACTTTTTTAAGTCCCTGGAAACAAACACCCTCTTAGGCTTTCTTTGCACATGCCATGAAGATAGGTTACTTCGCATATTAGCTTTGACTGAGGTCAAATTTTATAAAGTTTGATCATATTTATAGAAAATAATACGAATATTTACAATAACAATTAACAAATATATATGATGTGGAAATATAATCAATAACAAATTGATTTGGTAATGTATATGTTAATATATTTATATAAATTTTATCAAAGGTTATAAAGTTTGACTTTAGAGAAAGTTAATCCGCCGGAGTGATAAAAACGTCGGGAGTAGCTTCTATGTCCCACTCAAGGAAAAGAAAAACTAACTGTATATCCTTTTAATTCACTATATGATCCCTAATTTTCAAGTTCTCCCATTCGATTAAGGTATTCAAATTTGGATTTGGTTCACTATTTTGGTTGGCTCAACTATTTTCCAAATTAATTGGCAACAACCGGCCTATGAAAATCCCACACACCTCTTACTACCTAGAAAAAAGAGCCAACATGTGATAATACTATAGCACCAATATGGTACATGTAACCATGGATGCAAAAAAAAAACACAAAAGTATGGGTTGATTAGGAGATAACATCAAATCACACTACCGAAGGCCTACCATAACACCGGATTACAAATAAAAAGAAAAAAACACTCCATCGTCTCTCCACTCGCCAAACCAAATACTCTCTTAGTTTCAAAATATAACGTGTATTAGTTTTTTAAAAAGTCAAATTTCTTTAGTTTTGACCAAGTTCAGAGCGAAAAACATCTACATCCACAATACTACATAAATAAAATATAATTTTTTTATTTCATGATAAATCTAGTAATGCTGATATGATATTATGTGTATTGGTATATTTCTCTACGAATTTAATCAAACTTAAGACATTTCAAAAAAACTAATACACTTCATATTTTAAAACAAAAGATGTATAACATCACGAAATTCTAATAACACCAACAGCGCAGCAAAGCGCATGTACCATACCGCCCGCGTGTTCATGTGCCGACGTTGGAGGCTAGATGCGGCTCCTCCGCACGTGTGAAATGCATGTGTTTATATTGATCGGCTGTTTTCTCTCAGATGTAGTTAAAAATTCGCACCGAGGTTTCTTCTACGAAACTGGACCTGGTCTAGTCACCCTCTTCCTCTCCCGGACAACAACCGCTCCGGCAGTCCCCCACCAAACACCACTGCTTCCCCCCGCTCACTATAAGTACCACTCCGCGAGCTCCTTCCACTCCTCAGAAGTCAGAACAACTCGATCTTGCAACCAGTGCTTCCCCAGCTCCACCAACCAATTCAGCCGTAAACGATCCAAGACAGACAGACGCGGCGAGAAATGGGCTCGTTGCCGGAGCAGCAGCAGGTCGTCTTCCGCTCGACGCTGCCGGACATCGCCATCCCGGACCACCTCCCGCTGCACGACTACGTCTTCGAGCGCCTGGCCGAGCGCCGCGACCGCGCCTGCCTCATCGACGGCGCCACGGGCGAGACGCTCACGGTCGGCGACGTGCACCGCCTGTCCCGGCGCGTGGCGGCGGGGCTGTACTCCCTCGGCGTCCGCCACGGCAGCACGGTGATGCTGCTCCTTCCCAACTGCGTCGAGTTCGCGCTGGCCTTCCTCGCCGCGTCCCGCCTCGGCGCGGCCACCACCACGGCGAACCCGCTCCACACCCCGCCCGAGATCGCCAAGCAGGCCGCGGCGTCCCGCGCCACCCTCGTGGTGACCGAGCCGGCGTTCGTCGCCAAGGTGCGGGGCCTCGCGGGCGTCACCGTCGTCGCCACGGGCGACGGCGCCGAGGGCTGCGCCTCGTTCGCCGACCTCGCGGCCGCCGACGACTCGGCGCTGCCGGAGGCGCCCATCGACGTGGCCAACGACGTGGTGGCGCTGCCCTACTCGTCGGGCACCACGGGGCTCCCCAAGGGCGTCATGCTGTCGCACCGCGGGCTGGTCACCAGCGTCGCGCAGCTCGTCGACGGCGACAACCCCAACCTCCACCTCCGGGAGGACGACGTCGTCCTCTGCGTGCTCCCCATGTTCCACGTCTACTCGCTGCACTCCATCCTGCTCTGCGGGCTGCGCGCCGGCGCCGCCCTCGTCGTCATGAAGCGCTTCGACACGGTCAAGATGATGGAGCTGGTGGAGCGCCACGGCATCACCATCGCGCCGCTCGTGCCGCCCATCGTCGTCGAGATGGCCAAGGGAGACGCGCTGGACCGCCACGACCTCTCCTCCGTGCGCATGGTCATCTCCGGCGCCGCGCCCATGGGCAAGGAGCTGCAGGACATCATCCACGCCAAGCTCCCCAATGCCGTGCTCGGACAGGTACATATACCTAACCTTTCCTTCCTCGTGCTTTGACCATGACTAGTCTAACGACGACCATGCCAGTTAAACTTATCTATATTTGTCATTTCGTTTGAGCAGGGCTATGGGATGACAGAGGCAGGTCCGGTGCTGTCGATGTGCATGGCGTTCGCCAAGGAGCCGTCGCCGGTGAAGTCCGGCGCCTGCGGCACGGTGGTAAGGAACGCGGAGCTCAAGATCGTCGACCCAGAGACCGGTCTGTGCCTCGGGCGCAACCAGCCCGGGGAGATTTGCATCAGGGGGAGGCAGATCATGAAAGGGTACCTCGACAACCCGGAGGCGACGGCGGAGACCGTGGACAAGGACGGGTGGCTGCACACCGGCGACGTCGGGTTCGTGGACGCCGACGACGAGATCTTCATCGTGGACCGGCTCAAGGAGCTCATCAAGTACAAGGGCTTCCAGGTGGCGCCCGCGGAGCTCGAGGCCATGCTCATCGCCCACCCCGGCATTGCCGACGCCGCCGTCGTCCCGTGAGTACCAAGCATCAGCTAGCATTGCCTACTCCTTATTGAGCTGTAAGAGTTATGATGATTTCTTAACGACGGCAGGCTATCTTGACCAGGATGAAGGATGATGCCAGCGGCGAGGTCCCGGTGGCGTTCGTCGTGCCGTCGCCGGACGGCGCCGACATGACCGAGGACGAGATCAAGCAGTACGTGGCGAAGCAGGTGGTGTTCTACAAGAGGCTGCAGAAGGTCTTCTTCGTGAGCTCCATCCCCAAGGCGCCGTCGGGGAAGATTCTGAGAAAGGACCTCCGAGCGAAGCTGGCCGCCGGATCGTGCTGATGATGCTTTATTATTTGTGTGCAAAATATATATACCCGGTTCGAGTTTTGTTCTCGTCATAATGCTAATTAAAGTACCACGAAAAGAGTGTGAGCAAGGATCGACCAGTCGCCAATGTGCATGGCATACTGTGTTTCTGGAGTTCTGGATATACTCCAGATAATGTATTCGCACTTGTATATCAGTGAACTGGAAGAAACAATTTACTCCCTCCGTTCCAAAATAGAGCACCATTGCAGCGTCGTGGCAAGTTCGATATAATTGTTTTGTTCCAAGATGCTGTACATCCGTATATGGTGGCATCGGGTTCAACATCACGGCAAATTTGAAAAAAATAATCCCTAGTTAAAACTGTACCATCTGCAACGTCGCGGCAATTTGTGTATATTTTTTTGCCGGTTCAGACTTTTTGTCATTGGAAACAGAAGAAACATGCTAGTTCTATCTCTGAAGAACAGGGCGAACAGATCGCAGCTGGAAGAAAAATACATGTGGTCTATGTTAAGGATAACACAGTACATCTGAATAATGTAGCTGATTGACCAGGGCTGTCTACATGGTTTCGCGGAAGATGAGAACCACAAAGGAAATATCAGAGATCTTAACATCATCACATCTTCAGCAGTTTCCGATGAATAAAAACCAAATCTTCTAGGCATCTAGCAACAGCACATCATCAGCTCTTGTAGGCATTCAGGAACCTTTGAGCAGCATCCAGATCCAGTTCTTTGTAAACCTGGCCAAACAGAACAATCCCATAAGACCGCCAGGAAGAAAGATGGTAGATGCGTTATTAGTACAAAGTAGGTTCCGGGAAACGAGAAGTCAATACAAGTTTCTCGTGAGCTTCTTCGAATGTCTTGCAGAATAGTTCTGCCTTCGTTGCTCCAACCTGAGACAGTGAATAATAACATTATTAGTAACCAATCAGAGAGTAAGCACTAGAGTACACTCATTTTGCTCCGTATGTAGTCCATTAGTGGAATCTCTACAAAGGCTTATATTTAGGAACGGAGGGAGTATATTCTAGATAGCTGCAGTAGGGCTATTACTAATTGAAAAGGTAAACTAAAATATATCCAACAAAGGCCAAGCGTGCTAACCAAGCTCACAAGCATTTTGCCAGATTATCATCTACCAATTTCCCAGCCAGAGAGTGACATGTTTATGATATCTTTGTTTACATCCGTAAGTATATACTTCATGTATACAAACAATCTGTCAATAAATATAAACGACACAAGATACCACGTAATGCTTTTAAAATATTTCAACTTTCTGCTGAGTTGCTAGCTTCCTGATATAAAAGCAAAAGAAAGGTTACCTTTTTCTCAGCAGCCGTCTTCAATTTCCGCAGGAATAGAGCTGTCGAACATGCCACAGAATTCATCATTAATATACTGGTGTGTTATGGCATGTTAGCAGTGATAACTGAGTCTATTTTTTAGTATTTTCTGCTATTTCTTGTTGGTTGGGAAGCACACCCTCTGTTATTCCTTGTTTGGTTTCAGCCCAGGGCTGCCCCACCAAACATTTGGCAAGCCAAAATTTTGGTCAAGCGCACTCTCTGCTATTTCTTGCCCTGGCTTCCCCAAATCTCGGTTAACCTCTATGACCACGTGTGGAAGTGTGCATAAGCTTGAAACTAGGGGAAAACCAACTAATTTGATATGGTATAAAGGACTGCGTATTCGTAACATAGTTTGGCTGGCAGTTTAGGAAAATACAGGTTTGTGCATGCCACCTTAATTAAACATAGTTTTTTTAGAAGTAAGTAAACTTAGTTTTGATTTTATTGGAAATGAAATTGAATTCTTAAAGTTTGAAAACCTGAATGAACATTATGTTGCTCGAGAACGCAATTCATAACAAATTAGATGAGTTCACTATTAAGTGTATAAGTTGATAGGACCGAGATGTTCCTCAGTTAGCTGGTTTCTGCAGGCAGCAGTCAGCCCACCCAGCTTTGAATCCCACATGTGGCAAAAATGTGGTCAAAAGTGCAAACAGCCCTATGTGAGAAGTCTTGTTCTAAAAGATTTAAAGATAGAAGAAAATAAGCGAAATTGATAGAGATTTAAGAGTTATTAAGCCTTAGAAGGAACAAAATTCTATGAAGTAGACTAGTGAGAGGAAGAACTGAGACTAAAGACGAAAGCCAACAGCAACAGGGCACAGGCTTAAGACCTAGGACCAATTAGAGATTAGGGATGTGTGGTCACGAATAAATTCCAAAGGTTCGGGGATGCATGCTAGAGATCTAAGGCTATTTAGGGATAGGGATGTGGGTAGGGGTGGGCATATAACCCGAAAACCGAACGACCGGACCGATTTAACCTGAACCGAAGCCGAAGTGACCGAAACCGATTAGTTCGGTACTATGCTCGGTTAGCGATTATGAGAAACTGAATTTAGTTCGGTGATTTCGGTCTGCACAGTCAAGCGACCGAATTGACCGAAGCACCGAGGCCCACCACTAACTGTCTCATGCGTCTTCCATAAATTAGTTCCCATATGTACGCTATGTGTTGCCAGCCAACGAACAAAAAATCAATTGTATTAATGGGATGGCGCGTTAATGTGATGAGTGGAAAATAGTGTCGTGGGCTGGTCCCTTTGATTCTCTCCCTACAAGACGCAAACCATCTTTTTTTAGTGAACCTAGGTACTGTTTGTTGTTGCATGTTGTCTCGCTCACCTCATGTATTTTTTTCTTTGAGCATAACACGTGTTGTTATCTAGCCCAGCCGAGACAAACAAGTATAGCAGTCCGCCATCCCATCCCGCCAGCCCAACCCGCCAGCTGTTCGGTTTGTTCGGTGCAAAACCGAGTACCGAACCGATCGATCGGGGCACCGAAGGCTCGGTTTTGTGTATTGCTAGAGACCGATCGGTCCACGTTTTCTAGGAACCGAGAAAATCAGAACACCGAAGCACCGAACCGTTCGGTCCGGGGGAACCGAACGCCCACCCCTAGATGTGGGGTCATGAATAACTGTCCATGTGATTCACATGAACAAAGTGCAAGGCCGCTACAATGATAATGGCAGATGATGTGGTTCCGGAACAGTTATGAGATGTAACTCTGGTAAAAAATTATCAGAGAAACATAATAATGCTGATCCATATACCTTCTGCAGCCTTCTTTTTGGTTCCTTTTATCTCCTGCAAGAAATAGCCCCGTCAGAGTTATTTTCAAGTATAATCAGGCAGCACACAGCTGATCACATTAACCATACCTGAGCTCGTGTTTGCTGTGTGGTGCCTTCGCTTGATGATTCCACTTCATCCTTCTACATTTTGGCAAGAAAAGTTGGCATCAGTTCGTAACCACAAGGTCTTGTAACAGGATAACAAGCACCTACCATGTTTCCTTCGGTTCCTTCTGCAATGAAGCATTGACCATGAATGTTTAGGATTACATGTCAAGTTACTACTGCAATCCTTGTTACCGTTCGACCCACGTCTCTATTTATATACACTTTCTATTTATATACGTGAGCCCGTTTAACCGTCTCTTAACCACAGGGCTATAACTTGACTAACATCAAATATTCATGACAAACACACTATTTGAAAGAGACGCGGCACCTTGACGATGCTGTACTAACATTCTTAACTAATATTAGCCAGATGCTAATATTAGCATGTTCACTTAATGACACAGGACAGGAGACATAATCACATGGATCACATGCTTTGAGGGGCTAGAAGTAAGAGTAACTGATGGAATCTGGGAAATTCAGAAGTACAGACAATAGGCCAGACAAAGAGTTGCCATTTATGTTTTGCTAGGACACAAATACATACACACTTTTATCGCACTCACAAACGCTCTCATTGTTAACAAGGCCTTTATATTCTTATTTCAATTTTAGTCCTTTAACGGGATATGGATGAATTTTTCCTTCTTTTATTCTACAACAATATCAGTCAGATAATTACTTGTGGATCTGATGTTCGCCTTGTTGACGGAAGATTTACATCTTGTGAGCTCCATGGGCTGCTCCAAGACCAACACTTCCAAGATCAGCGTGGTGATACCAGAAGCTTCGCGTGATCTAAAGGATCGCCAGAACCAACCCTAAGGTTACCCAAATCCAGAGCCATATTCCAAGCGCACAGACCTAGGATTAGTCCAATCAACAGCCACCCGCACCAAAATCGCCTACCCCGGCAAAATCGCGATTTCTCTAGCCTCCAATT